AGGAGAGAAAGCCTGGCTGTTTTTGTTCATGTATCGTGATGGTTTATAACATGTGAAAGTATGCAACTCTATTGATGCACGCATCTTCACTTGTTGGACTAGGAAGAGTTGATGTACTTGACTGAAACACACGGAACCATTATGGACCCTAGGGCTATCTTTTTATAGCAGTACAGACATTTCATCTCTTGCTCCAAAGAATCAGTTGGTCAAGAACTCTTGACAGAAGTTGAGTTCCACTGTTGGAAAAACTTTATAGCCTGTTAAGAGATCAGAATAAACATTTTGATGAAGATGAATCAAGAAACAAAGGAACAAAAGGCAGAATGCATAAACCTATAACCGGTCAAAGGTCCTGCTTGGGAAGAATCTCCAAATTTTGTCTCACAGGATGACTTTGTTCAAGAAGCAGGAAAGATCTGGAGTTTGAAGAATCAAAAACTGAGGGGACAGTAGAGAATTAATATAAAGAACCATATGAATTCTGAATATACAGGTACTCTGACATTCTGACAGAGTTCTCTTTTTTGGGGGCATTTGATGTACTGTGTCATTACTATGATATAGTAAACCTTCCTGAGAAAGATTGGCTGATAACAACCAAACATGACAGCAAAGGGCAATCATCTCACCCAGGACAATTGGCCCAAACTCTGCTGTATATTTGGCTATGTTGATGTTTGTTTTGACAAATTTATAGATAAGAGGTGGGACATGGGATGAAGAGATAAACGCCTGTAACTTTAGAGAGGACAAAGAGTTACCAAGTTTGTTTATACTAGTGATAAAGGTTGAAAGACATTTCTTTATATATATTTACTTTTTTCCTTTCTCTTTCCTTTCATGTTTACTCCTTCCATTCAGGGGTGGGCTGCTGGGGGTTTGCAGGGGTTCGGGCCGTTTTTGCCCTCCTGGAGACTCAAGGAAAGCCGCCGGAGCCCAGGGAGTGCAAAAACGCCCCCCCCCACCGTGGTGCAGGAGGCCGATTAGGCCACCACGCCCATCATGGCCACGCCCACCCAGCAACCGGGAAGCTAAAATTTTTAAAGCCCACCCCTGGCTTCCATGTCCCAATTTTTTTTTAAAAAAAAGTTAGCTTACGTTAGATTTTACTATTCTAATCCAAAGGCAGCGCACAACCTTCATAAAACTGTGCCCAGGTGATGTTATATAAAGCTATAATGACAAGAGACGGCGCTGTCTTCAGAAGGACGGGGGGGGGGGGAGTGAGAAACATTGCCAGAGTAGCTGGAGAGGGAATGAATGTCGGCCACCTTGCTTGATGGGCTGCGAAGCATGTGGGGCTGGGAAGGGACGGCAGTGGGCTGAATGAAGGCTTGCTGGCATTTGTTGGGCTAAGCAGGGGCAGTTGAGGATGTTGGGGGTACAGCAAGCAGTCGCAGAGCTGTGTGGTTCTGGGGCTGCTTGCCGTCCCACAGGGCAGGGTGCAGGATGATCAAAGGCTGAGACAGGCAGCTGGGGGGAACTGCAGGCAGTCTTGTTGAGGCTTAGGGTTGGAAGGCACCAAGCCTGGAATGGCTTAGCTTGAGGTAGTTAGTCACTGAATGACCTGCAATTCTTGCTCAACAACTGCACAGGAAAAGCTGGGATTGTTGTCATAAGTCACTGAGGTTACCTCTCACTTTACAATTGCCATTCTCTCAATTGTGGCCATAAATTAAAGACTATCGATTAGCTATGTTTGTGTTCTGACCCAAACCCTTTTCCAGTAAAACAAACACGAATCAAAGGGAACAGAAACCTTTTAATGATTCTTATGAATCCCTGGTTAAAAGGCTACTGCAAAGTAACCTTGATAAGCACAAGCCTCACCAAAACTGCGTGAGGCTGCCATGAATAACAGATAAGAAATATTTTACAACACACGAGTCTTCAAATACCAACTTAAGATACTGCAATGTCCACGAGGCTGAGTTTCAAAACATCTTGGCTTCCTGCAAAGAATGTTCGCTGCACATCTGCCTTTTATCTTCTTGAAGGAGGGGCCATTACCTTGCAGCCTTACTCCCGAGTCTCCTGTGCTGTTGTAGCTGCTCTTTCCTACGAGCAATCCTGTGCGCACACGCACTTGGCACAGGCTCCTCGGGAACCTCCTCATCGCTGCTGCCACCCCCCACAATCTCTGAAGGCAGCAGTCCACTCCCTGATGGTCCTGGCCCCTCATCTGAGTCCTTGCTCTCCTCAGCCATCCACACCTGCTGCCGGCTAACCACAACAGTTTGATACTAAAGAGGCAGCTGGTATATCTCTGCTACCAAGAAGAGACATATCTAGTTTTATTCATGATGGGAGCACAAACATTCATTTATCATTTCCAAGACCACAACGTTTGAAAATCCTGAGTGTTTCATATATTCATTGGCAGCTCTGTAGACTCTCTCCATTCTTAGTCCCAAACACTTTTGCCTTGTAAACTAGCACTACACAATGCCTGTAATCCTGCACCACAATATTAACGACGGTTACAAAGTCAATTGCAAACAGCAATTCCACTGGACTAACATATGTAAATTGTGTTTTACATAAGGGGACTGTAGAAAAACAATATATAACAATGGCTGATTTTTAACAATAAAAACCAGGTCTCCAGGATTTTGTTTCCTTAATTAGAAAAGTCTCTCAAAAGATCCCCCCCCCCTTCAAGTTTGTAGAGCATGAAAAAAATCACATCTGTAATTATGGATATTTTTTTTTCTTGTCCTGAAGAGTAAAACATTTTTGTTTTCTTTTTCTACGACACAAAAGAAATGTAACTTTAATAAGAGTACACGTTTTACATTTCAAGTGAAAATTTAACTAAGGTTTAGGCAGATAACCATTTTCTAGGCAATGAAATATTAGTTTTCAATCATGGGTCTACAGTTAATAAAATATTCATTTCATCAAATATTAAGTTTGGAATTCTGGGTACTACATTCAGTTGGAAGAACTGGAAAAAGGGAAAAGGAAAGAGCAACAGATACAGGGATTTCTTCAAGTATAATCTTGGTTTTCCAATGTCTTCATCTCCAAAGAGGAAAGGAACAAAGCTATACATATTTAATATTCTAGTAATATAAATGTATTAAATAAATAAATTCTCCCAGTAGTATATTGGCAGATAGGTGTTATATGCACATGCTAAATGTTACCTGAGAGTTTTTTTTTATTTTCCTGCAGATGTATAAACCTCAGTTTTAGGAAGAAGGATGCCCTTTAAATCAAAAAAGCAATCTACCTTTTTAGAGGGCTAACTTACTATGCATGTTTCATTATGAAGTATAGGCTACACGTAACTCAGAGCCTTCCTTGTTATATATTTTTTAAATTTCTCAATAATTCAGATCACATAACTGATTTTTTAAAAAAATAACGAATGCTTTCTAGACGTAGAAATTTGCACCTATTTAGAATTTGTTTACTTGAATTTATCCAGATTCAAGAATTTGGGGAAAAGAAGTTCACATTTTAAGCCTTTGTGGTGAGTGATTACGTATAATAAAATGTGCGTAGACAATAACTGAAATGTAGACGTATACATATGCATTGTACTTAGGAGTGGCTAATGTGCAATCCACAAAGTTAAAAGATTAGCTTAAATTTTATCTCAAAGCTTACTTAAGCAATGTGTTAAAAGTAATGCTGTTTTAAACAGCTTTATCTACTCAGCAGATTTGAATGTAGTGGTAGAGCCAGGTCAGTGTTATATTAGACTAGAGAGCAACCTGGACCTGCCAGATCTAAATCAACCAAAATGAAATAGAATAGAATAGAATAGAATAGAACTCTTTATTGGCCAAGTGTTATTGGGCACACAAGGAATTTGTCTTGGTGCAAATGCTCTCAGTGTACATAAAAGAGAAGATACATTAATCAAGAGTCAAGAATCATAAGGTACAGCACTTAATGATAGTCATGAAAATGCACAAAACCCCTTAAATATGATCCTGTTGCAAACAGCATGTTTAATTGTATCCCTTCCACAAAGACTTGTGATAACCTTCCTTCACTGCTTTTTCTTCACATGTGCACCTCTGGAATTTAAAGCACGACGAAAGCTACCAAATTAGATGCTTTTAAGATTAAACCCAAGCCACAGAAGATAAAGTTGGCATTATCATGAGCATTATGCTTCTGAAATACCTAGAGTAAATAATGCAGAATTGCCAGCTGATGTCAAATTATTATTCCATTCCAAATACACAGGGTCAACTTATGACCATTCGTGTAATGACAATTCGAAGTTACGACAGAGCTGAAAAATACTCGCACCTGTGACCAGCACAATGTCCCTGTAGCCACATGATCAAAATCTGAGCACTTGGCAACAGGCATTTAGTTATATTTGCAGTGTCCTGGAGTCATGTGATCACCATTGCTGGCCTTCCTGTACTGTATCATATTAGTTCAGTATACTGTCCTTCAAATGATCAGAAAAGTCTTCCAACAAGTCAATGGGAGAAGCTAGATTAGTGTAGAGGTAAAGGTTCCCCTCACACACATACATGCTAGTCATTCCCAACCCCTGGGGGGCGGTGCTCATCTCCATTTCAAAGCTGAAGAGCCAGCCCTGTCCAAAGATGTCTCCGTAGTCATGTGGCCGACATGACTAAACTCCAAAGGCGCATGGAATGCTTCCCCCCAAAGTGGTCCCTATTTTTCTACTTGCATTTTTATGTGCTTTCGAACTGCTGGGTTGGCAGAAGCTGGGACAAGTAACGGGAGCTCACTTGGTTACATGGAGCTAGGGATTCGAACCGCCGAACTTTCTGATTGACAAGCTCAGTGCCTTAGCCATTGAGCCACCGCGTTCCCTGCATAGTTCAGTATACTGTTCTTCCAATGATCAGAAAAAGCCTTCCAACAACTCATTGGGAGAAGCTAGATTAGTGTAACCACCACATAATTCACTTAATGACCATAGCAAAAAACCAAAACCCTTGTGTTCCTAAGGCAAGGACGAGATGCAGGTGGTTCCTAAAGCAGCTTTTCTTACATACCTGCATAAAGCTTCAATGGCGTCTCTGTCCAGAAAGTCATGTTCTCTCTTCACTGCAGTGATGTCAATGGGAAAGATAAGATCTGTGAAGATCAAGACGGATGAGCAATCAGAAAAAAAAATGTTCTTCCCACAGATAAACTTCTTCCAAAGAAACCATCTCGCTCCAAGAGGCAAGTAACTAACTGTGACAATAAACATTTCTTTTTACACTCTCTTGGGCGAAACGTGCAGAAGCTTTAAGGGGGAATCAACATCTCCATGTGTTACAGCAGAGATCTCCAAACTTTGCAACTTTAAGACTTGTGGACTATACTGGCTGGAGAATTCTGGGAGTTGAAGCCCACAAGTTTTAAAGTTGTCAAATTTGGGGACCCCTGTGTTACAGGAAGGAAAAACCAGTGGGAAAGGTAAGGTATATTGTAGGGAGCCAAATACAAAATAGTGTGAGCTGTGGAAAACCAAGTTGGCCTTTAAAAACAAATATTAACATTATGAAGAAACCTTCCCGGGGTCTGTATGTACACCGTTTAGCTAGCACATTTGTTACCTAAACCTAAGTTCCAGCAACACTGAAAAGCAACAAAGGAGACATTTTAAAAAAACAAGATTTATCAAGGCAAGAGACAAACAAACATTTTAAATACAGTTCTCCTCGACTTATGACCACTATCGAGCCCAGAATTTATGCGGCTAAGTGAGAAATTTGTTGAGTTGTGTGTGTCCCATTTGACACAATTTTTCTTGCCACATTGGTTAAGTGAATATTTGCAGTTGTTAAAATTAGACACCCGGCTGTTAAGTAAATCTGGCTTCCCCATCGACTTTGCTTGTCAGAAGACAATCTGACAGAAAAATAGTTGTAAATCACTTTTTGCAGTGCCGTTGTAACTGGTCACTAAATGAACTGTTGTAAGTCAAGGACTTCCTGTAGACCGATAGGTAATGTTCTCAATGAAAGAATCAACGGCTGTAAACTTTATGTTCTCTTCCCTGGGGTGGTGGATCTTGTGCTCTTGTGACCCATCAAGCAAAAGGCAGCCTACTAACTGTGTGTGGCAATTCTACTTGGGTTTAGTTAAGTCTCTTCTTTGCCTGGACGGATTGCGAAAACAACGGGCTTGACAAACACCTGCCTGGCCACCATGCGCGAGGGAAAAGCTGCCTTTGCTTTGTCAGTTGTGCAAACCTGTCTTAGGTAAACACTTGGGGGGAGAGCAAGAATGAAGCAACAACAGGGACAACCTGAAAAGAAGGCTGGAAATTTACCAGTAAACCTGCAGTGGTAAATAGACAAGTCAGATTTTCCAGCATCTGCAGTTCACTGAGTGGCAGGTGGCTCTTGATCCTGTATTCTACAGAACTGGCAACAGGTCTAAATCAGATTACAGATGTGTATTTGTATCACAGCGTGGCTTCTCCAGCTTTCCTCCAGGAGCTTGAGGCAGTTGGCAAAGTTTTCCCCTAGCAACTTTGCCAGTTCATTTAAACTGACACAATTACTATGGGAGAGAGGCTCAACAGAGTAAAATACTGGAAACCTGGCCTCCCTGTTACCAGCATCTTTGCTCCTTTGTGAATTGTAGCACATTCTTCTCAAAACCTGCCATTGACTGTCGCTGCATGACAGGACTTGGATTACTGCACAATCTGCATTTTTATCAAAGCCAGATGGAACATGAGCCCGTGTCAAAAGTTTAGTGAACGTCCTCTTGTGCTGCCCTTTCTTTTGGAAATTAATGAGTTACTTTGACGTTACTATATGCTTTGTTCTAGAACAATAGCAATAAGACTTGTATACCACTTTCAGTATTTTACAGCCCTCTCTCTAGAGCAGGGGTGGGCAAACTTTTTGGCTCGGGGGGGCCGCATTCACTTTTAAAATTTGACAGACGGGCCGGGTCAGCACAAGATTTTTTGGGAATCGACCCCCCCTTCTTCTCCTCCTTCCCCTCCCCTCGGAGGCCCCCTGAGTCAGGAGTTGCTACTGCCGGCACGGCTCCACGCGGCTCCAGTCCCACGTTGCCTCGGGAAGGGAAAGGCAAAAAGGAAGAGCCGCGGCGGTGCTTTGCAACAGCAGCAGCAGCACCGGAGGTTCAGGCTCAGCGGCTCCTGGTTTTGCCTTTCCCTTCCCAAGGCAACGCGGGACTGGAGCCGCGCGGAGCTGCGCCGGCGGTAGCAACTCCTGACAGCCCCAGCCGGACACCTGAGCAGAGCCCGGGCAGAACTGCCTGTTGCTGCTGCGGGCGCTGCTGCGGGTGTCTGGCTGCCCAAGTAAAGAACCGCACCAGCTCAGGGCAACTGTGAGGAGCAAGAGGGGAGAGGCAGAGAAGGAGGCAGAGAAGGAGGAGAGCACCTGGCCAGTTGGGGGAGGCTTCTTGTGCTGCGAAAGAGGCGGCTAATGATCTCCGGCTCCACTCTGCTTCTCCAACATCCGGCGCTGCCCTGTTCTGTGCGCCGGCTGCTCGGACTTGCTGGGCCTGACACAGAACAGGGTGGCGCCGGATGTTGGAGAAGCAGAGCGGAGCCGGAGATCATTAGCCGCCTCTTTTGCAGCACAAGAACAGGGTGGTGCCGGACCATTGGAGAAGCGGAGCAAAGCCGGAGATTAGTAGCTGCCTCTTTCGGCGCAGAAAGCTTCCCCCAACCAGCCGGCTGATCTCCTCCTTCTCTGCCTGTTTGTTCTGTATGGCCGAGGAGGAGACCAGCTGAGAAGCACGCTGCCAGGCGGGGGCCACGCGGTGCAGGGCAATACGCCACCGCCCAGCCCTGGCTTGGGAAAGCAGTGGGCGTTCCCCGGGCGGTGGCCTTGGCCCCGCTAGCAGGGAAGCAGCTGCCCAGCTCCGTGTTGTGTGTGCAATTTTTTGGCGCGCGGTGTGGGGTCTCTTTTGGCTGGCCCCAATTTTTTTTTAGAGGGGAATATTTTTTTTTCAGAGGCGGGCCGTATTAAAATGACCAACGGGCCGGATGTGTCCCGCGGGCCGTAGTTTGCCCACCCCTGCTCTAGAGTCAGCATATTGCTCCCAACAACCTGGGTCCTCATTTTACCGACCTCTGAAGGATGGAAAACTGAGGTAACCTTGAGCTGGTCAGAATTGAACTGCTGGCAGTTGGCAGAATTAGCCTACAATACTGCATTTTAACATGCATTGAGCCACCATGGTTCCTTATCTTGGTTTCCCTATCTTGGCATCGGGAAAATAAATTTCCCTATCTTGGTGTCCTCCAGATGAGTGGGAACTACTGTATATAGTCTCATCCTCCTTAACCGATTGCCATATTGACTAAAAAAATGGGAATTCTAATCTCCTTACATTTTACTCCACAGTACTGATAGCTGCGGCAGCAGCTTGGCTTCTATCATGGCATCGGAGGAAGATTTTTATCTGCAGAGATTACGAAGAACGGCAAAAGGTTTAAGCTTGTTTTGAAGGACAACTTCCTAGAAATTTTGGCAAGAGCAACGAAATCAAAGCAGCCAAATATAGAACGCTGAAAAAAAATAAGAGGTAAACAATAGCTAGAGCTATCCTGCTGAGATATTTCATATTAATGTTATTATTATTTTAATTTTCTAAAATAGACCCTTCTTGGTTTGGTGTCTGGCCCAAATCTGAAGAATATAATAGACGGAAACTCAGTTGTTAAACAGATAAACAAAAGAGCTGCCAATTGTTGTCTCTGTGAGTGCCATTATTCTCTACGATTGCCAATGCAGCTGTGAGTTAAAGCCTTAAATTAATCATTTCTTAAGAACACTCTGCTTAGCTGTGCTAAGTTGTCCAACAGTAAATAATGAAACATCTCTATTCAGTTAACCAAACAGCTGCGATGAGATGCTGATCCCGAAGTTTCCCTCCAACTACAAGAAAACTTCTGATCTCTGCTGTAGATTTTTAGGGAGCAAAAAACAACGAAAAGCTTTTTGAGTCACACTGACGTTACACCGATGCTAGCAGAGTTTTAAAATATTTTATCTCTTGTTAAATCTTGCATGGTCTGGCAAGTGGAACTCACCCTGAACATCCTCGCTGTAAATTCTCAATAGAAATCCACCTCTGAATTTCTATATTCAGGCTTTTAACAGGGTTACCGGGTCAATACATAAATATCTAGAGGTTGCAACATTTAAAGAACTTTAACACCAAGAAGCATTACAACAGTCAGGAAGACTCGTAACAGAAGAGTTGAGTATATAGGGATGCAGGAACATACAAATTATCTATTACTTTATTTTCATACTTAAAGCTTAGAAATGTTTTAAGGTGCAGGTTGCAAGATGATCCAGAATTAAATTAGGAAATGAATTTTAAAAAGATTTCAATTACACATACCATTTTCCCCAAAATACGGCCTACCCTGAAAGTAAGTCCTAGCTTGATTTTTTACATGTGCACTCAATATGAGCCCTACCCCCAAAAATAAGTCCTAATTAAGATCCTGCCCACTCCAAAGTGCACAGATAAAAATTCAGCTAGGGTGGGGATGGGTGTGTGTGGAGCTGCCCTACTACTTACCCTTGGACAGTTTTAGCCAGGCTTCACAGACTCCGACACCTGCCTTGCCAGTCCATTTCTTCTGCAGCCAGCAAGGCTGGCAAGGCTTTCCTGAAGGCCTCTGGAGCTGAGAACAAAGCTCTGGATCGATCTGGAGCTCTGTTATCGGTTGCAGGGGCCTTGAGGAAAGCCTTGCCGGCTGCAGAAGAAGTTCCTGAAGGCCTCTGACAGCGAAAAGGAGGCCGGGGGCGACGCGTGCAAGTGAGGTTAGTCAGTGGATGCCATCCCCCCAAAATAAGACCTGGTGCCTTTTTGGTGGCTATCTATCTATCTATCTATCTATCATCTATCTATCTATCTATCTATCT